ATATTTTATAAAGGTGGTGGGGAGAGAAGAGACTGGGGATGTGGCCTAATTGTAGAGGACTTATCTACTGTAGCCAAGGCCCTGGGTTCAATTCCTAATACCTCAAGAGGAAAAAAAAAAAGGAAAGAAATCTCTCAGGAGGTAAAACTTCTGCTTGTAAAAATTTATCCTAGATAGGTGTGATACATCTTCAACTCAACACTCAGGAGGAAGATGTGGGGATCAAAAATTTGAAGGTAGCTTGAGCAACTTAGTAAAACACAATCTCGAAAAACGAAAATAAACCTTCATCGTGTAGGATAACTTACAATACATCTAATCCCAGTACAAAACAAAATGCTCCACAGTACAAAATCACTCCAGCTATGGACTTCATCTCTCTAAAAACGGATTCAGCTAGATATCAATACAGTAGACGCCAACAGACAGCTACTTGGTTGTGACCAGCTCTACAGCTCTGACGTGGGCACCTGCCCTGGGGAGGGGCCAGCTGCCCACCTGGCACAGGATGATGTGGTCAGTACACACCACCAGCAGGTTGCACTCAAACTTCTTGACAATTTTCTCCTTCACCCGGTAGTGCATGTCCACTGAGTCGTCTGAGTACAGCTCATAGATGAGGATCTTCTCTGGCAGCTGGATAGCTAATCGATTTTTGTAGATGGCAATTTTCTTGACAAGCTCTCTGCACTTAATCCGAACTGTCAAAGGGTGGGGGGGAAAAGACTCTAGCAAAAGGTTGTTAAGTAAGGTGAAAGGCAGAGAAATTAAAAGCCATCATTTATTTATTTAATGCTTCTGACAATTAAAGTGAGACACTCTCATTAAAAAGTCTCTCCCCGGGCTGGAAAGGCAGCTCAGGGTTGGAGCACTGCTGCTCTCAAGGAGACTAGAGTTTGGTTCACAGTCCCACATGGAGCCGCACCTGTAACTTCAGCTCCTGGCGATCTGTTGCCCTCCTCTGGCACTGCACATAGAAGGTACATGGCCATGTGCAGGCACTCAGAGGTAAAAGTAAATAAATCTTTAAAAATCTTCCCAGAACGCCTGCCGTGTGCATGGGGTCCGGCGCTGCATATGGTACAATCTGTGTTGCCCGAAGCTGAGCAGTGAGTGCCACCTCCACTTGTTCATGTCCTCTGCACACTCAAGGCTCCTACTGATCAGAAGCCCACTATAATGACAATTTCACAGCTGACCACACCCCTGCAACCTTTCTGACCACAGGGAGACTTCCATGAGGTAGGCCCTGCCTCTCTACAGACCAACTGGGGTAAACAACCCGAACAGGACACTGCTGAGCAGTCTCAGTGGCTACAGTCCCACCACCTAGAAGGAATTTTCAAAACACAGAACTACCCAGGCAGGGACAAAAGAAGCCAAACTGAATGTGCAGGATGGCCCCAAACGGGACCTCTATGCAAAGCCACCTGGCCATATCTGACTAGCCGCATTCAGACAGCACATGTGGTCAGCACATCCACATACGAATGCCGCAGGATGGAACTACTGACCAGCAGAGCTACTTAGCTGAACAGAGGGGGACTGTCAGAGTTTAGACCACGTGAGCTGGATCCCAGGGGTGGTTCGAATGAAAATGGCCCCACAGACTCATAGGGAGTAACATAATTGGAGGTGTGGCCTTGTTGGAGTAGGTGTGGCCTTGATGGAGGAAGTGTGCCACAGGAGGTGGGCTTTGAGATTTCACATACTCAAGTTAGACCCAGTATCACTTTTTTCCTGCTGCCTGCTGATCCAATGTAGAACTCTCAGCCTCTCCTCCAGTGCCTATCTGCTTGCACACCACCAAGCTTTCCCACCACAATGATAATGAACTGAAGCTCTGAACCTGAAACCCAGCCCCAATTAAATGTTTTATAAGAGATGCATCTCTTCACAGCAACAGAAACCCTAACTAAGACAGCACTGATCTCTGACCAAGCCTGAGCCTATCCACCGCCCTGTTTATCTAGCAGAAGAACCTACCAAGAAACAAACAGAAGCTGAGGGAAACTATGCCAAAACGGCTCTGACCAGAAAGGGTAAAGGGTGTGGGAAGACCTTCTGTATATGTGTTGCTTTTATTGGTCAATGAATAAAGAAGTTCTTTGGCCCGTGGCAGGGCAGAATAGAGCTAGGTGGATAAACTAAACTGAATGCTGGGAGAAAGAAGGCCCTATGTAGCCGTCAGAGGAGAAAGACACAAGCTGCCAGCCGGAATCTTGCCGGTAAACCACGAGCCTCGTGGTGAAATATAAAATACTAGAAATGGGTTAATTTAAGATGTAAGAGCTAGTTAGAAATATGCTTAAGCTATAGGCCAAACAGTATTGCAAATAATATAGTTTCTGTGTGATTATTTTGGGTCTGGGCAGCCAGGAATGAATGAGCAGCCTCTGTCTACAGGTAACGGTCCACAAAGCCCCATGCAGGTCAGTCATCACAGCTCTGATTTGTCAGCTTCTGTGCCTCAAGGAGTCCATTTGTCCATTTATACCTTGGAATTATTTGTAAAATGTTAGTTGGTATTTTGGGGGAGGGAGGTGCTTTTGTTTTGTTTTGACAGGTTTTACTGCTTTTGCTAGATCCTCAAAGAGATCTGCATCCTCTTTCCACTGCTAAAAGCTAAAGCAAGACCAGGAGAGATGCCAGGCAGTGGGGACACACGCCTTTAATCCCAGCACTCAGAAGGCAGAGGCAGGCGGATCTCTGTGAGTTTGAGGCCAGCCTGGTCTACAGAGTGAGTTCCAGGACTGGCAGAGCTACACAGAGAAACCTTACTTCGAAAAACAAAAACAAACCACCAAAGGCCAGGGGAAACATTTCCTATTATTTTGTGTGTCCTATCATCAGCCCATGCCCACCCCTTGGCTAGTGTATAAGAAGAGGCAAGCCTGCCCCTTACCTTTCTGCTCCGTGATCAGGTGTTGGACGATGACATCTGTCATGCTGTCCCTGTAGGCGTACCGATCCTTGTAGAGGCCGTGGACTGTGCTGAAGATGAGCTGGTAGAAGGAAATGGTGCCATCCTGGCAGCCCACCACCTGATCAGAAGATAGCTGTCAGCCTCAGGCTGGGAGGGGAAGCAGCCCACCTCCATGAGGAGCAATGGCCAAGCTCTGCCTGGCTGACCTGATGCTCAGGGCCTGCTCGAGAGGCTCTGCAGGAAGAACTTCCTCCACTTACCACATAGTTGGAGTCAGGTTTCACTCTACAGGTCCACACCCAGGAGTTCTGCTCCCCAACGGTCCCCAGTCGTACTCCATCCTTGGTGAAAAGAGATACTTGCTTGTCTGAACCCCCCACCAAAATGTACTCTCCTTTGGTGAAGTAGCTGATGCAGCAGGGGTCAAAGTTCAATGGCCGATCCTTTCCAATCTGAGAAAAGAGAGGATACACCAAGTGAAAGACCACTCCTGAACCCCAGTAAGGGCTTCCCCACCATCATAAGTGAGGAAGGGGGAGTGGTGGGAAGGCAGGGGGCTACCTAGCCTTACCTCCTAAATTAGCCCATTACCTACACAGGCCTCTCCACCTCTGGAACACCCACACCTTCCCCTCAACCCACCCAAATCCTTGGCTCCTAAAATCAGCAATGCCTGACCTAACTGTTGCAAAGTGGGCCCGACCTCCTCAGCCAACCTGGAGGCCAGGGAGTCTTCCCCTTGTTCACTGCCTCACACAGAGCCAGCAGCTCACCTCAACTCCTTTTCTCTGTTTATTTTCTGTGCTTATTCACTTGAAAAGACTGCCCTTTATTCTTTATTCAATTTAAGGAAAACAACTCTAAAATCCTGGTTCTTGCTTTAAGGCTTAGGGTCAGTTTACAAATGTTTTCCTATGTATAAATCTAGTAAAAGTGAACAATCAGTTGGCGCTGACGGTTTAATGAACGCAATTTAAACATAAAACCACTGAAATAGCTCCAATTTCAACTTAGTTAATTTCCTTCAACTAATTTCAACTACAATTATAAATTTAGTACGTTCACTTTTTCTTTCCTTTTTAGGAATTTTAAATGCCTAACAACCAAAAGCTTCCCTCCTACCTCCCAATGCTACAAAATCTAACAAGAAAACTCTGGCACCTATCATGACTCCCAGGGCTGACAACTGTGGGCTGGGGCTTAGGACTTCTTGCAAGCAACAACCATCAGCTCAGGACCAACTATAAGGACCAACTGAAGTAGGCACCCAAAGCAGGCAGAAACTAGGCAGAGAAACAGCCTCAGGCAAGCTTCTCTGAGCACGGCCTAGAAGCTCCTTTCTAGGTGAGCACAGCATCTGAGAGCTGGACAGTCAGGAGGCATGCTGCAGAAAGGAGGGCCGGGAGGAAGTCCATTCTGCATACGAGCTCTGCCACTCTGGAAACCCTGAGCTACCCAAGCGTGACTCACAGGTGACGCCAAAGAACTGTCCTGAGATCTCAGCTGCTGCCCACTGAAAATATGGAACAGAGCACAGCAAGACCAACAACACCATCCCCGGATGTGTTCCCCCACCCCATACTCTCATCCCCCCCCCCCCCCCCCCCCCCCCCCCCCCCCCCCCCCCCGTGCACATGCACACACCTTCAGAGGAACAGGAGAAAAATGAGTGTCTATGAGGTACCATTTGTAAGGCCCAGAATATAATTCAAATGTTCAAAAAGTAGAAAATGGGGGCCTAGAGGGATGCTCAGAGGTTAAGATCATTGGCTGCTCTTGCAGAGGACCTGGGTTTGGTTCCCAGCACCCACATGGTGGCTCAATGAAATTACTGTAACTCTGGTTCTGGGGGGTGGGGGACTGATACCCTCTGCTGGTCACTGTGGGCACTGCACACGTGGTACATACACAAGCAGGTAAACCATCCATCCACATAAAAGACAATCAACAAAGCCAGACCCAGATATTAGAATAAGCAGATGAAAAAGTTAAAACATCTGTGATAACATGGTTCAAAAAACTAAGGAAGGGGCTGGAGAGATGGCTCATGGTTCAAAATACTAAGGAAGGGGCTGGAGAGATGGCTCAGTGGTTAAGAGAATGTACTGTTCTTGCAGACCTGGGTCCCCAGCACCCACGTGGAACTGAAGAATGTAGTGACTAAAACAGCTCTCTGACATGAGAGTCAGGGAAGCGACTGGGCTCTGAAGGAATGTAAAGGCAGTAGAAAAGGCATCTCAGGAGCTGATGGCTAGAGTATTGCTGTCTTAATTTCTTCACCCTCCCTTCATCATGCTTTTTAAAAGAATAAATATATATAGGGTTTTTTTTTTGTTTTTAAGCCTAGTGAATCCCAAGAAGGAAAATACAATGAGTCTCTTTAAAGTCCAATATTGCTTAGGTACTTAATGAAAAATTCTTGTCTTTTCATTGAAAATACGTTGTATAAAAATCAGTTTTTAATTCAATTATATTTTTACAGTAATCATCACTAGACCAATCTGGCAGATATGTAGATACACATTTCTAGCATCTATCTGGCCAAGTCCCAAACTGGGTGTGGCCAAGAACATCTCAAGGCCTCAATTTTCTTACTTGTACAACAGTGTTGGCAGCAGTTCCTCCAGAGGGTTGGAGGATTAAAAGAGCTCAGGCTGTGAGCAGCATAGCAATGTCTGGACCAGGGAATACCAGCGGTGGCTACTAAGCCAGGACTCATCAAGGATTACATATGCCTAAAAGGCCAAAATTATACAAATGTTACCAGCCTGATGAAAATTTTGACTGTGTTTTACCAATCCTTGTCCTATATTTAATCCCAAATCACTCCAGAGTTGAAAAGATACTTCAAAACCAAAAGAATAACTTCACTGTCCCAAACGAGTTGGAGTTGCCATCTGTACCATGGTTGGACCCTAAGCAAATCTCAGAACCTCTGTGTCCGTCAATGCATTATGGAGAAGGGGTAACATTTAGGGGGCGGAATCTAGCTGAGAGAAACATGTCACCGGGCACATCCTCTCAAAAGCACACTGGAAATTCTCAAAGAACTAGTAAATTAATCTGATCTGGGTTTCAATCCCTGGTTCCACCACTTTCCAACTGTGTGGGACTTACTGCGATGGTCTTGGTCTCCCATTAAGGTATATAAAGTACTGGGTTGAAGAGCTGAAGAAAAGATGGCAAAGCATTGGGTCCAGGACCCAGAGCCACAGTAAACAGTCACATGACCGTGTGTAGTCACTACAGCTGACATGGGTAACTGGGCTTGCATGGTACTACATACCTGTTTTCCACTCAGCTGGTAGAAGGAAAGTTTCTGTCCCCAGTCCGCTACAGCCAGGATGTCATTATGTTCCTCTCTAATCAACAGAAGACAAAAGAGGTTATAAGGGGGCACAGCCTGCTGATGAGTGTGGCTAGGGGCTTAACAAACAACAGGAAAAAGAAAGTCCTGGCCAGGCTGTCAGGGAGCCAAGTGCTACACAGCCGCACTGGGGCCAGCGTTACAATCAGGCCAAGCATCAATCAGTCCTGAGACTAAAGCAGAGACAGGTTTGGCCCTCCTGCGATCTGCTATTGCACTGAGTCTGAGTCGTGAACAGCAGTGGCAGAAGGTAAACCACTCATTTCAGGGTTCCTGGGGAGCAACTTGAAGGATGAGCATGGCTGCAAATCCAAGTGTACCCTTCCCATGCGTAAAATGTGGGGAGTAGCCAGGAGACACAGCTTACAGTGAAGAGGCTAGACTGTTCCAGAACATGGGAAACTGCTCTGTTTTCCTACAAGGGAAGGATGGCACCCACACCCAAGTTCTCTTGCTGTTAGGCTTCTCAAAGAGGTGAAATGGCATCTGAATGAAGATGGCCAACTTTTGAAGTTTTTGAAGATGAACAACTGCCAATATAACAAAACTTGTAGATTTGTATCTTGGGATGGGACTTCAGGACCAGAACCCAGGAAGGCCTCTGAGACTCAAATGGGAAGCCAGCCACTCAGAATGTAGACAGAGAGAGGCTTCTCAGAATCAAGGCTGGACCATAAGCCTCCCCAGGTGGCTGAGTCTTTGTTAACCTGAGCCCAGGCTCTGACAGCCACCGCTAGCCATATAAGTAGCCCTATGCAGCATGGTCTGTAAAACCCAGCCAGGGGTAGCAGTGAGGAAAACGCCATAGACACTAACTCAGAATTAAGACAAAGGGGAAAAGTAGAGAAGATGTTGGCAGAAGGCTTGCTATGAACTGTGATGACTGTCGCTGAAGTCCAAACCCTAGCCACCAGTGAAACCCAGTAGAGAGGCTATGTGTGGTACTGGGCTAGACACTAGTCTAGGAGTTTCCAACCCAACCACCCATATTGGTGGGCAGTGGGGCTCTACCAAAACACCCATGTTAAATAATAAAAACAGGTTGAAACTCAGATGGGAACCTGAAAGCCGCCCTTCCTCCTTTTTTTTTTTTTGTCCCCACTTCCCATCCCCCACACCTGGACTCCTCTAATGAATCTTAGGTGTCAGGGCTGCAGTGAGGAGGGTCCCAAGCTGGAACATGATAACCCAAACACAACATCCTGGCTGCCTCAGCTTTTCCCACTCCCTTCCGGTCATCTCAACTGAGAGAAGACAGACTGCCCAGTAGCCAGGACTGTGGGTGTGGGAGGGAATAAAAGCTAAGACCTTCTCCTTTACATACGTCCTAGCCAGTGCAAGGTGAAGTGGTGTGGGAATAGGCCAAGAAAACACACCCAGTAACCAAGGACTGGTGGTCCTACACAGGCCCTTAGGTAAACCCCACTTCTCAGAGAATGTCTAGTGTTGCTGGAAGGGGCTTACTCAGAGGTTAAGAAGCAGGCATGGTTATGATACTCACACATGGAAGTCAGAGGGGACAGAGGTCTGGGGCCTTTTCAGAGATGGCAGTTCACAGAGGTGTCTCCTCCCTTCCCAGAGGATTGCACTATCTGCCGCCCACACATGCTTCTCGGGGGAGCTTCCCTGTGAGTGCGGGGGCACACCAACAATCCCCCGGCCCCTGCTCTGCTGCCCTTGGCCAAGGAGCTTCTCGGCAGCATCTGCTTCAGCAGGTCTGTGCGGGGGCCTGGGCCCTCCCAAGGAGGGTCCTCACTCCGGGACACACTCACGAGTTGCCGTCCCTGGGACTGTCGTCCTCTTCCTCTTGCTCTTCCTCCTCTGCCTCACTACCCTGACTACTGTACACTGTTGACTTCAGAATGGAAGGGATTTCCTGAAAATATCTGTTGACAATGACATCCTCAGCATCCTCGTTCTCTCTGCTCATCCAGATATTCTCCCATCGGCTGTAGACAGTAAGCGGATGTTCACAATCACATTGCCTAGGACTACACTGAAGCTATAATTTCAAAACCTGCCAAGGAGCCCCTGGACCCTGCCCGGAAGAGGACAGCCACCAGGTACACTGGGCATCCTGCTTCTCATGAATTAAAAATGGTAGCCTGAAGCCACAAAGTCATCTGTGGCCACAAAATCAAACAGCAGGAACTGTGGGGTAGGCTAATGGCCTTTGAAGGCACTATATGCACATGCAGGGCCTCCGCTGGACAGAATTATTCAGGAAGAATTATAATAACCTGTTGTAAGAATGCAATGGAATTAAACAGCCTCCTAGATCAAGTGGGCGCCCACCTGTAAAATAACACTGGGACGGAAAACAATTGAGTCCTTTAATTGACCTTCAGAGAACTCTGTGGGGAGAGGCTTGGCATATTATAGGATTATGCAAAGAGTTAGGAAAGCTTTCAGTCCACCCTCAAAGTCACATGGTCATAAAAGTAAAGTGTGTGTAAGATCTGAGCAGGTAGGTGCCAACTGTCTGCAGACCTTTAGGTTCTAGGGATATTTGTAGACTTAATTTTAACTTTTTGACAAGGAAATTTTTTTAAAAAGCAGTCAAGAAATCACTGTTCTGTTCATTGTGTTAATAGGTGGGGGTGGGGGTGCATATTCCAGTACGTGGAGGAAGAACGAGGAAGCAAGAAAAGAAACCCAGGGAGGATCACAACCACTATTTCATGAAGTAGCCTCTCTCTCTCTCTCTCTCTCTCTCTCTCTCTCTCTCTCTCTCTCTCTCTCTTCCTCTCACCCCACCCCCCGCTGGCCTAGATAGTTTGTCTGCTTAGCTAAATCTCTGGGATTCATTCCAAAACTCAATATAGGCTCTTTTAAAACTCCATTTATAAAGAACAGGTTCCAAAAGACCAGGCAAGTGGGGAGAGAGGACTTTAGACTATGAAGATGTCATAAAGAGAAAAAGAGCTCAGAGGGCTGAGAAAGCCTTTCTTCTAAGAGTGCCAGCCAGAAGAAAGACAGCCATGGGTACCTTGAAGGGTTCCAGCAGATGGACCATATTGGGGAGAAGGAGCCCCCTGGCCGCTCAATCTTCACTTTCTCTTCGCCATTTTTGTTCCGGATGCTGATGACCCCATTGGACATCCCCAGAGCCAGGTACTGACCGTCGTTTGTCCAGCTGCACACACAACCAATGAAGAGCACGGGAGATGGAAAGGGCACATACAGTGAAGCCAGGAAAGCTCAGCGGGAGGCAGCGGCAGCTGGGCTACACTCTCATCACCCCGCTCACTCCTGACATGGAATTAGACACCAGCTTGAACTGCCACTCACATCTGGAACAGTGAGACCTTAAGACAGTGACATCCATTTCAGAAGGATCTACTCCCTGGCTCTCTGCATGCATCTCCATGACAGCCTACCCCTGCACTCTAGACCAGCTCCCATTTTCTGCTTTGCATTTCAACCCCCTCCCAATTCAGAGGCTCCCAGTAAACACACTGTCTTGTGTCTTTTTAGCCCTAGAAGAGGGCTTGACACGTCACTCAACAAATACTGAATCTCAGAGTCCCCCCAGAAGCTGCTCAGTTTTAGAGTGCCTAGCCTGGCTTACATGCGTTCCCAGCAATGACGGTGCTATCACCACTGGGTGATGAGGACCCTGAGGCTCCAGCTCTGACTTTGTAACTTTCCCAAGGTCACAGACCTGTCAATCACAAGATCCAGACTTTGGTCTGGGTCTAGTACCAAAGTCAGAGGTTCCTGACTGTCAATCCTGATGAAGAAGCCTCACCAAGTGAAAGTGATCAAAGGCACAAGTCACTCCCATCAAGGAGACAAGAGAAGAAAGAGAACACAGAAGCCTATACCAACTAATAGACATCACACTTTCTCTGTAGTGCAAAATTGGTGGTTTGTGTGGGTCTTTTGGGGAGAGAAAGGAGCATAGGCCTGTCGTCAGAGCGCCCCTAGCTTACCTGCAGCAGGTGATCTTGCTGCTGGATTTATGCTTGGAGACAGATTTCTGCTCAGGAGACCACAGTCCTTCAGTATCAGGCAAAACAAACAAAAAACACAGTAAGACTATTCAGCAATAGAGAGGAATAAACTATTCATTTCAACAAAACTCGGATCTCTGGAGTCTTATGCTAATGGAAGAAAAAGCCAACATATAAAAGTTTAGTACAAAGTAAGTCTATGTATACAAAATACTAAACAATAATCACAGCCTGGAGAACAGATCTATGGCTACTGGAATCTCAGGTGGCAGCAGGGGGCGGGGAGCAGGCTTTGGTGTGGGAATGGGATCCTGCAATGCAGTGGCAGTATACTGCGACACATGAGGAGATGACAGAACCACAGACACACTGTGCCCTCCTGCCCTGGCTCCTGCGTGACCCAATAGCTGCCCAAGGTGTATAAGAAAGCGAGGGAAGAATACATGAGGTTTCTCTGTACTGTCCTTGCAATGCACTGGGAATTATTTTTTAAAAAAGGTAGATGGTAAATAAAGTTCTAGTCAACTTCTCCAGGATTTAAATCTAAAGAAAAGGACAACTTAGCTACTCATAGCTAGCACATGGCAGTCAGAGAACAACTCAGCATTAAAATAATGACTTAAGCTGGGCAGTGGTGGTGCACACCTTTAACCTCAGCACTTGGGAGGCAGAGGGAAGAGGATCTCTGTGAATATGAAGCCAGACTGGTCTAGGACAGTAGGGACTATACAGAGAAACCCTGTCTCAAAAACCAAAGGATTAAAAAACAAACAAATAAATAAAAATAAAATGTTAATGAAATAGAATGGGCAGGAATGAACCTGTCAAGTTTCACATTAAGTGAGCTGACCCAGTCCCAGAAAGACAAACATCGTGTGTTCTCATGTCTCAATCTTAATATTTGTAAGCAAGGGGTGTAATAGTGGGTATAGACAACAAATTTAGTAGGAAACCATCAGAGAGAACAAGAGATTTGGGGGTCACATAGGACATGGAAGCGGAAAGCAGGCTCCTGGGGTGAAAGGACACCAGGGAAAGAGTGTGGATGGGGAAGAATGGGCTGGAAGGGTGGGAAGAAGAAACAAAAACAAATTTTGTTCTAAAATGTCATGGCAAAACCTATTCCTTCGTTAAGCTAATAAAAATAAAGTAAGTCACAAATGACCTTTTTGGAGAGTCCAGTTTCTAGGCCTCCGTCACTGCTCATGGCTCACTGGTCATTTTAGGTTTGCTTCCACCAATCCCCAGATGTGGTGCAATGTCCTCAACAACAGACAACAAAAGCAAACTCTACTCTGCCTGAGCTGTGAAGTGTGGCCACATGAAATAAACGGCACAAATAACTTTACACAGCCATGTGCATGTGTAGAGAGCGGAGGAAGCCCCGAATGAGTATAAAGTCCTGAGTCACATCCACAGCCATGTCAAGGACCCAGTAGCCTCAGACCCCGAGAAAAGGCAAAGCCTTCTCCCTGGGGGCGAAAGTGAGGGAAATGGCAAAGACTTCCCTTTCTGGTCCATGTGTAGATGTTGACAATATATTCAGAAAATGTCCAACACAGTATTTATGACCTAAAGACTGTTCCCTGTGAGACTGCTCAGACAGAGATTAGCTAAGCCTGCCTCCTTGGTCCAGCCGGATATAACCCTGCCTCCGTATTTATCTGTGATGACCCTGCCTCCTTGACTCAGCTGCAGGCAGTAACCCTGCCTCGCTGTTCAACTCTATATAATAAGCACACTGGGCTTCCAGGGTGCTGTGGTCCACCTGGTCCCAGTTTTATATCTGTGTCTTATCTTTTCTTCATACCCTGCTGCCACAGTCGTGAGAGTCCCTGGAGAAGAGAAAGGCTTTGGGAACGCATGCCAAATGACTGAATCTTCCCCTCCCTTCTGCCAAGCATTTCCACCCCAGCTGCGCATGTTATCTGCGCTCCGCTGAAAATGCACAGGGCCTCAGCTACAGGAGCCCCTCCTTTCTAGACCCCCTCAAGCTCTGCACATAGTTGCCTAACCTGGGCCCCAACTCTCCTCCTGCAGTGCTGGCTAAGTAACTGCCAGTGACTCCAGGACTACATTGAGCCCCTGTGTTTTCTCCTTCAGCATGAGGATGGGAATAGGTGAAACACTTGACCTCAGCCACAGGACTTAGAACTCAGAACTTTTTTTAAATAGTTCTCAAGCCATAGGAATTCCCTTCTTAAAAAAATTGTTGTAAACCATCAGCACAGTGCCTCCCCCACTATAAACATCCTGTAGGTACTACTGCATGTGTGTATACATACTGCATGTGTATGTATATATACTGCATGTGTGTATACATACTGCATGTGTGTATACATACTGCATGTGTATGTATACATACTGCATGTGTGTATACATACTGCATGTGTGTATACATACTGCATGTGTGTATACATACTGCATGTGTGTATACATACTGCATGTGTATGTATATATACTGTATGTGTGTATACATACTGCATGTGTATATACATACTGCATGTGTATGTATATATACTGCATGTGTGTATACATACTGCATGTGTATGTATATATACTGCATGTGTATGTATATATACTGCATGTGTGTATACATACTGCATGTGTGTATACATACTGCATGTGTATGTATATATACTGCATGTGTATGTATATATACTGCATGTGTGTATACATCTGCATGTGTGTATACATACTGCATGTGTGTATACATACTGCATGTGTGTATACATACTGCATGTGTATGTACAGTGACGGCCGTGTGTGGGGACGCTCGCCCTGGGAAGCAGAAGCTGACATGGAGATGTCTTCTCTATCACTCTGTTTTTTAACACTGAACCTAGTACTCTCCATTTTGGCTAGTCTGTCTGTCCAGCAAGTTCCTGGGATCTGGACATCTTGCTCCCAGCACTGGGGTTACAGGCAGAAGCCACCACAGCTGGCTTGTACACGGGAACCTGGGATCTGAACTCTGGTCCTTGTGTTGTAAGCACTTTACCCACTGAGCCATCTCCCCAGCCCAACTCATTTTACTTAAGATATTTTTACAAATCCTACCTTCCTCGTACACAAGCTTGAGAGCAGGGGGATTTTAACTGCCCCCAAACAAGCACAGATCAGCAGCCCACAAGAAGATAAGCTAAACTTTTTAAGCAAATGGCAGTGCTTCCACTGTTGATAAACTGTGTTGTTTTGCACTCTCTTCAGAAGCTAAAACTACATGAGTGGGGCAGACGAGGTAGGGAACACATCCCTTTCGGATAAGGACATTGAGGTACCGAGAAGGCTTAGGTCTCCATTCCTAGACCCGTGGCTGTCCTGTAGGTCCTTTGGCATGGAGCTGGAAGCCAGCATCAATGCTTCATGTTCCAGAAGCCTCCTTCCTCCCTTTATACACACATCAGTGCCACAGAGACAAGAATAAGGACACACTGAGTCAGCAGCACAGTTGAAAGGGTGAATGTGGATGGATACCAAAGTGGGGACAGAGACACGGTCCTTTTAGGGGAGTTGGAGTCTTCTGTGCCTGCTCTCCTGTCCATCACACCATTTCCTCCCTAGGATCCTACTGCTCAACTGTCTCAGATGTCTTACAACCCCAGGGACATCATCTCTCACTGTCTCTCGTTCTGCAAATTTAAAGGACAACTATGAACCTCCCCTGGCTGTTGGAGGTTGGAGAAGAGGCCTCTCCCTCAGGACAGGTCAGCAGGTTCTGTGTGAGTCTCAGCATTCTCCACTGGGGATGCTGGGAACTGAAACTTACCGAAGTCACTGGAGGAACAGGATGCCAGCTGGTGGGTGATGGGGTTGTAGGAGACACACTGTATAGAGTCATTGTGCCTGAAGGTGAAGAACAGAGGATTATTCCACAGCAAACCACAAATGTCTCAGTGGCTACACCTGGAGATTCAAAGCAGGCTAGAAGAGGCTGGAGAGATGGCTCAGCAGGTAAGAGCACTTACTACTCTTCCAGAGAACCAGGATTTGGTTACTAGATACAGCTGTCTGTATCTCCAGTTCCAAAGGATATGATGCCCTCTTCTAGCTTCTATGCAAAATATGTACATACATGAATTAAATTAAAAATAAATAAATTATTTAAAAAAAAAAAACAAGATTGAAGCCTTGGGTGACACACTGCAAGCCCCTCGCTGAGGGACCAACAGCCAGCCCAGGAACTCCTTCACAGGACTGTCCTCACCACCAGTTTGAACACACCCTGCATCCCACCCAACTCAAGTTCCTCCTCCTCCAGGGCTCTCCTGACACTTCCGGTGGGTGACTGAGATAAAGACTAGAACCAGCTCAGTGCCAGTGCAGACTGCAGGCTTTATCTGTGGGTAGATGTGATAAAGACAGTGCAGGCCAGGTGCACTCCATGGCATCTCGGCCCAGTTCTAGTCCTTCGCTTTCTCAGGACACCGTATGCATGACCTGACTCAATGTTCAACCAACATCGTTTGTTGTGTTCAGAGCAGGATTGTTTACAGTAGGTACCAGGTGGGAGCAACCCAAGTGTCCATCAGCTGTTGAGCAATCCAAATGGGATATAGATACACAATGGAGTATTACTCAGCCTTAGAGAGGAAGGCATGGGACCTGCCACCCCTCACCCGGACTGACGAATCGGCACGGCTGTCCTGAGCGCCATGTCGAGTTCCTCTAGCATCGCCGTCATGAAGAAGGTGGTTCAGCAGCTCCGGCTGGAAGCCGGGCTCAACCACGTGAAGGTTTCCCAGGAAGCTGCAGACTTGAAACAGTTCTGTCTGCAGAATGCTCAACATGACCCTCTGCTGACCGGAGTGTCTTCCAGTACAAATCCCTTCAGACCCCAGAAAGTCTGCTCCTTTTTGTAGTCAGCTACCTTGAGGTTTCTTAAACCACTTTTCATGAACCAGTGGATATTCTGAAGTCTGTACAGAAGCTTCTCTAACACGTGCCATAATACACAGTCTTTACTTGTCAATCCTTAACATCTACCTCTCTGAATCTTCATGGATTTCTGTTTCACAAGGTTTAACTATTTTATATACACTGGCTGTAGCATACAATAAAACAGCATACAAATCTCAAAAAAAAAAAAGAGGAAGGCATGGGCCATGAGGACATTACATGAAATAAGCCAATTACAAAACACCAAATGCTCTATGATCCCACTTCTATGAGGCACCTAGAGGAGTCAAACTCCCAGAGTCAGATAGGAGAATGACAGTTGCTGGGCTGAGATGGGGCAGAAGGGAAGGTGTTAAGCGCCGAGTTTAAGTTCAAGACTGTATTTGCCAAAGTTTGGTTGCACAACAATGTGAACATATATAACACCTGGAGGTGACGGCACAGTTCACGTTTGGGGTATTTCTCTACAACTAAAAATAACAGAAGTTGTCTGTCAAGTACTTACAAAAGTGGACCAGGCTAGAAGCCAGAAATACAAGCACATAAAAGTAGGGGTGGTGTCTACCTTCCAGAGCCCACAGAGTGTCATCAATCAGTGGTCAGAATATGTAAGGCCGCAGCTGTAAGAAATGCTCAGGGCGGCCCTCCTGTGCACCCGAGACCTGTAGGATGCGCATGGGAGTCATGGTGGGGGGGATAGGGGCCTGGCTAGGAAAGGGAGAGATCTGAGCACAGCCCCTAAGGGATAGGAAGCTTAGAGCACGTTGGCCTTCTAGCTTTGACACTGGGTAGAGGCAAAGCCATCCCTGGAGGCAGAGACACTGAAGAGGACATGCTGGGTGAGAGAGGAGACAGGAATCTGTGCTGTTGGGATTAGCTGAGATACATTACATGGAACGTGGCTCAGTGCTGGCTAAGCCAGTTAGTGATCATGCACTCCCCACCCACCCTGTGCTGAATTCAAGTTCATCTTGGGAAGATTTCTCCATATAATGTTTCCACAACGCTGTGGCCACAATGAACAGCAATCAGAACAGAGTCAGGTGTGGTTGGTGTGCGGGGAGGGCATAAGCTTGAGGCTTGCTTCTCAGAGGGAGGCCCTGTCTCAAGCAAGCAAAACAGTAAGAGTTAAACTATATAATACTGTCCCCCACGAAGTCACCTACGTGTACTTCAGAATGCCTTCCAGTTTTGAGGTCCAGATAATAATGCTCTTGTCAGCAGATCCAGATGCAAAGCGCTTGCCTGCAAGGTTTTTAAAAAGAAAAATCATCACATGTACTTTAAACCAGCATTTTCCAGACAGCATGTCCAAGAAAACTAATCTTCAAAGCACCTAATTGGGTAGGAATGTAGTTCAGTTGACAGAGTAGCTGTCTAGTATATGAAGCCACAGGTTCAAATCCCAGCACTGCAGAAACTGGGTGTGTCGTTAGTGTATTCCTATCACCCAGCACTTGCAGTGGCAAGAAATCAGAGGTTCATAGTCATCCTGGCTACACAGTAAGTTTGAAGCCAGCCTGGACTACAAAAGACCCTGTCTAAAAACACCTTTAAAGGGTAATAAGTGGCCTTTTATTCTCTACTGCTATTTTTGGATGGGGCAGGATCTAGGGCCTACACACAAAGTTGTAAACCCAGCCCTTCTGCTGCTTCTCATCAACCATGGAAAGGCAAGGATCTGCAGGTGGGACTTCTCTTGGCACCAAGTATCCCATACTCGCCGAGGCTTGGTTACATCTGTGTACCGTGTTCTGCAACAAGGGCTGAGCAGTTATTAAACACCTAAGCTTCACTTCTGTAGGGCCTCGTCCAAGAAGCAGGCATTAAACTTATTCAATACAAATAACAATATGGGAGGGTGAGTCCTGTACAGAAAGAGAGTAGCTGGAGAAACTAACATTAAACTTTATATTTTTAAAAGGTTTTACCTATTTTTATTTTATGTTTATGGGTGTTTGCCTACATGTATGTCTGTATACCACGTACATGCCTGGTGCCTACATAGGCCACAAGATGGCAGCAGATTCCCTGAAACTAGAGTTACAGGTGTTTGTGAGCTACCATGAGGGTGCTGGGAAATAAACATGGATCCTCTGGAAGAGCATCCAGTGCTCTTGACTGCTGAGGCACCTCTCCAGCCTCCTAATTCCTTTTGTTTATTTTTACAGCTATACATGTTTATCTCTTCATGTGTTTGTGTGGTATATGTGGGTACACATGTGTTCACATGATGTCGGGTATCCTCCACTACTGCTCTCCACCTTATCTTTGATTCTCTTACTAAACCTGGAGCTCACAGACTTAGCCTGACTAGCTGTTCAATGAGCTCCTCTGTCCCCACCTCCCTAGTGCCAGGAGAGCAGGCACACAGCACTGTGCCCGTTTTTTTTTTTTTTGTGGGTGCAGGGGATGCAAACTCGGGTCTTCATGCTTGTGTCATGGGCACTTACCCACTGAGCCGTCCCCTCAGTCCCCAAAGTTATACATATTTATGAAGTACAGTACAGTGTTTGATATATTTAGTCAAATAATTATATCAAGCAAATTATCATATTTATCACCTTAGATACTTATATTTTTAACAATGAGAACATTAAAATCTGTTCTTTTAGCATCTTAAAAATATATATTATTGTTAATTATGCTAACCACACCATGCAAAAGATCTCAAAACCCTACCCATCCTGCCTGACTGAAACTGTGGTCTTGAGTCAGCAGTTACTAGAGCAGCAGTTCTCAAACCCCTCCGGGGTTTGTCTGACCCTTTTACAAGGGCCACATATCAGATATCCTGTGCATGAGATATTTATATTATTATTCATAAAAGTAGCAAAATTACAGTTATGAAGTATCAATGAAAATAATTTCATGGTTGGAGATCACCACAACATGAGGAAATGTATTAAAGGGTTGCAGCATTAGGAAGGTTGAGAACCACTGACCTGGAGGACCAAAGGTAGATGAGATCCTTCAGTGGAGATCTAAAGGATAAGCAGAGCTGATCCAAGTACAAAGAAACAGCAATTTCTGCACATGGATAAAACATTCACAAAGGCCTTGAGGCACCAAAATGCTGGCATGGCTAAGAGGTACCAGCTTAGAGCAGGTGGCAAGGAATGAAGCAGGTAACTGAGGGAATCTCTAGGGCCTTCAGGGCCATAGCAGAGGTCTTGCCTTTAAATCCCAAGCAGTGAGAAGCCAGGGGAAGGCATGAATAGAAGAGTGACAGATGTGACCTGCATTTCCACACTGCTTGGGCTTTAAGTAAGAACAGGCTAGAAAGAGGCAACATATACCAAATAATTCCTGATTTACTCCATGGATACCAACTTACTAGCATGTGGAGAGTGGGGTACCTTGATGTGGGATTCCCCTCTCTATGCTGTGAATACCATTGGTGAATAAAGAAACTGCCTTGGCCTGTTGATAGGGCAGAACTTAGGTAGGTGGAGAAAACTAAACTGAATGCTGGGAGAAAGGAGGTGGAGTCAGTGAGAAGCCATGTAGCCCCACCAGAGACAGGCGCCAAAACTTTACCCGGTAAGCCACTGCAATGTGGTGATACACAGATTACTAAAAATGGTTTAAATTAAGATACTAAGTGTTAGCCAGTAAGAAGCTAGAGCTGAATGGGCCAAGAAGTGTTTTAAATAATATAATTTCTGTATGATTATTTTAGGTCTGACCTGCCAGGAAACAAATAAGCAGCCTCCTTACAACAGTACCCAGCAGCAAACCCCAGGAGCCTTCATTTGCTCTTGTGAAAGGAAGGCTTCAAGACAAGCACGGGTCAGGGTTTGCTCACCCAGCTGCAGATTTTTATTACAAAAGACACCATGGTGCACATTGGGATGACTCTGGGGGTTCTTTCCTCACACACGTGTGTCTCACTGATCAAACTCAGATTTTCAGGCTTGGTGACAAACGCTAGTGCTGCTCCATCTCTCCAGCCCAACCTGTTGCAGATTTTCAGACTTTATTTCCAGAGCCTCAGGGTGCCCATGTCAAACAGACAGGGAGTGGAAGTCCTTCCTCAGAGGCTCTGTGTGAGTCAGTTCCTTCCGCAGTCAGTTCAGACAGGAGACTGCAGGTGCGGCACGTGGCGCTGCAGCAAATGTTGATCAGAGAGATACTCTGCTGTCAGGTGTCCCCTCCCGCCACCCCCTGACCTGGAGAGCATCAGGAGATGACAAGTATGGGCTCCAGGCCCAGAAGCCTGCGTCAGAATCCCTAGTGATGTCACCGAGCAGCTGTGTGACTAGAATTGGCTACAGGATACCTGCAGGCTTTTAGTTCCTCATGTGAAAATGGAGAGTAATAGAATTGACCTCATACTTGGTGGGAAGAAAGGGCATGCATGTGCACACATGCACACACACATATAAAATGTTCAGAACATCTGAGCAGTGGTGGTGCACACCTTTAATCCCAGCACTTGGAAGAGAGAGGCAGGTAGATTTTCGAGTTTGAGGCCAGTCTACAGAGTAAGTTCTAAGATAGCCAGGGCTACATAGAGAAACCCTATCTCAAAAAAAAAAAAAAAAAAAAAAAAAGTTCAGAACCATGCCTGGAATATAACTGTGCTAAAAACATAGCTACGGCTATTCTTTCTTCACACTGGTTTATATTGTTCTTGAAAAGGGAACTATGTGTTACACATCTTTAATCATGGTGGCTCATTAATTACTTAGGAAGCTTTCAGAAGTCAGAAACAAGCAGACTTAATGAGTAAAACCGTAATCTGTACATCTCTACTTTCAGAAATAAGGGCACAGATAAGTTTGGAGGAACTAAGACCTCCTAATCATCATGTGTCACAAAAAGTGTGATACAGGTCTGGAGAGATGGCTCAGAGGTTAAGAGCATTGCCTGCTCTTCCAAAGGTCCTGAGTTCAATTCCCAGCAACCACATGGTGGCTCATAACCATCTGTAATGGGGTCTGTTGCCCTCTTCTGGCCTTCAGGCATACACACAGACAGAATATTGTATACATAATAAATAAATAAATAAATAAATAAATAAATAAATAAATAAATATTTTAAAAAATAACTGAAAAAATTCTTTAAAAAAAAGTGTGATACACCAGGAAACCCAGGCATCATAGGCAGAGGATATCAGTCAGCCTCTATAAATGCTCCAGCCCTGTTTGTCCTTCAGCCAGAGGAAGTAAAAAATACCCTTGCTGCAAGCGTCGGAGGGCTAGAGGAAGAATCACATGGGACCATGTGGACAGAGTTCTGCAGAGTGCTAACTAATGCCACTGCTCACAGGGCTACAGGCCACAGGGCTTCTCTCACACACGCAGGATACCCAGCAGCCCCTGCACCTATGCACAAATAATTCAGCTACCTAGGCTGCCTGCCACTCATCTCCTTGGAGCATCAACTTGAATTCAAACCACCTGACCATGAAGCAAGAAATGTGTGCTCTCACTAATCTGCCCCAGGACCTAGCAGGTCAGTTCTCCCAAAGTGAAGCAAGTGACTATGATGGGGGAGAGTCTTCTGTTTTGAGTTGTTTTCATTGGTTAAATAAAGAAACTGCCTTGGCCCTTTGATAGGACAGAAAATTAGGTAGGTGGAGTAGACAGAACAGAATGCTGGGAGAAAGAAGCCGAGTCAGTTAGTCGCCATGATTCTCCGCTCCGAGATGGATGCTCGTTAGACTTGTCCTGGTAAGCCACACTGAAGTGGCAATATGGATATTAGAAATGGGTTAGATCAATATGTAAGAGCTAGCCAATAAGAGGTTATAACTAATGGGCCATGCAGTGTTTAAAAGAATACAGTTTCTGTGTAATTATTTTGGGTAAAGCTAGCCGGGTGGCAGGAAGCAGCCCCGCCGCTCCCACTACTACACGACTAGGCTAAGGCAGGCTAAAGCTGAAGACACTGCATATACATGAAGTACGTGCATTTACCTACAGAGTGGCCTACAGCTTTCATCTAATTCTCAAAGAAGTCTGCCATCCAAAGAAATTATGTACCTGGGTCTTAGGTTCATCTATGCTATGTAGCCTTTGATGTATGGACTCCAACTGCGGTCAGAGCATCATCTCCAGTCCTACATGTGACCCAGGAAGTGACAGGGACAATAACCAGCTCAGAGTCAGGGCTTGGGCCAGAAGCTGGTTCATCAGGTAAAGGCACTGGCCACACAAGCTTGGCAGCCTGAGCTCGGTCCCCAGAACCCAAGTAAAGGTAGATGGAGAGAACAGTCTCTCTGAAGTTATCCTTCAAAACATGCCCACATGTGCACACACTCAGTAAGACATGAAAGTTTAATTTATTTTCTGGGGGGGGAGCTTGTGCATGCCACAGTACACATTTGGAGGTCAGAGGACAACCTGCAGAAGTAGATTCTCTTTCCACCAACTGGATATCAGGGAACCAACTCAACCCAGACTTGGTACAAATGACTTAACCTGTTTAGCCACCTGCCCATTCCAATAAATTAACAAAAGTCACACCTACTCATCGATGTCTACCATCTATGTCTCTTCATTTTACTGTAGTGTTTGCAGTGCTGTGGAAGGCACTCAGAGCCGTGGGCCAGAGAATACTAGGATGCTAGGCAAGTGTCCCACCGCTGAGCTATGTAGGGATAAGTCCCGCCCCTTAGGGGGCGTGTTCGCCTCAGGCTAATGTTTACCTATAAATCTGGTGAGCGTGCTCCCAGCCGGAGCTTCTGCTTTCCTGGTCTACACGGGAATGGTGGTTCTGTAAGTCTATTTCTCCATTAAAGCTGTATATATTTTTTACAATCTGTCTGCATCTGTTTATGCCGTTACATTTTGGCGCCCAACGTGGGGATCGAACCCACGACCCTCAGATTAAGAGTCTCATGCTCTACCAACTGAGCTTACAGAACCACCCTTCCCACGTAGACCAGGCTGTCCTTGAACTCTCAGAGATCCTTCTGTCTCTTGGGAGACAAAGGTAGATTGACCTCAGAGTTGAACTCTGTGACTTCAAAGTGTGGTAGGACACACACATCTTTAATCCCAGTGCCTGGGAGGCAGAGACAGAAGGATCTCTGAGAGTTCAAGGACAGCCTGGTCTACAGAGTTATTCCAGGTCAAAGATATACAGAGAATATAAAATAAAAGTAAAAATAAGCGAAATAGAGGTCAAAATAAAGCCGTACAAAGATGGAAAATACACAGAGAATCTTGATACTGTATGCTATTATGCTCTCTTTGAGTTGTTTGAATGCTGAGAAAAGAGCAACAGCTGCTAAAAGATATTTGTTTATAAATGCTGCTGAACTAATCCAACATAGATATTTTGAAAATGCCTTGACTTTGAAATTTGGATCTAAGGACATGATGCTTTGGAAAGGAGTTTCTTATTTTGTTTTCAGAGGGTGAGAGTCTGTGGATTGCTTCTATCCCAATAGGGTATGATGGACCACGCCCTCCTGAAGGGTTGCTGTGAACACCTTCAGAAAATTGCTTCACTCAACTGCCAATTGAGATGAAACTAGCACAAAGGTTATACCATGAAAGACCTAATTAATGACGCCCCCATTCAGCAGGAAGCAGTTTGGAGAGAAAAACCTTCGCCCATGTTCCCAAATATGGTTTATAAACATTCTTTTACATTTAAAGGGGGATATGATATAGATATGAATAATTTGCATTAGTATAGATTTTGCTTTATTGATAGAGATTTAAGATCAATTTTGTTATATGTATATGTATTTCTGATCTTGATTAAGGTATTGAAATTGTATAATTCACTTAAAAATGTAATGTATAGGGCTGGAGAGATGGCTCAGTGGTTAAGAGCATTGCCTGCTCTTCCAAAGGTCCTGAGTTCAATTCCCGGCAACCACATGGTGGCTCACAACCATCTGGAATGAGGTCTGGTGCCCTCTTCTGGCCTGCAGACATACACACAGACAGAATATTGTATACATAATAAATAAATAAATATTTTAAAAAATGTAATGTATATGGGTTGCTAATAGATAATCATAATAGTCAAGTTTATAGTCATGTTAGTTAAGATTTTCTAAATGTACATAGATATATTTTAGATAGGCATTCTTCACATCTTTCAAAGATGATAGAATACGGCATTTTAAATGTTTTAATAACTTAGGGTTTTTCATGACAATGAGACACTCTGCTCCTGGCAGCACCAATCTACTTCA